GAAAACATGAGGGCTTGCGTTCGGACATCGCGCGAGTTATGCTAGGCTACTCTCGGCCCAGAATACACGGCGAGATCACGAAATCTTCCCCCTTTCCGGCCCATAAGTACTGTCTGCAGTGGCAGTCTGGAAAGATAGCGCCGCCTTAGTGCTCTACCACTTCTATCGGATCTCCTGCAATGTCGTCAGCGCCTTTCTGCATCTCTGGATACGGTATCTGACGGCGCGTTCTTGAATGCAGCTACACGATCACCGTTAGCGTGTACCAGACAAATCCGAACTGCTTCTTCAACATCGTAGAGAAGATCTGCTTCAACTACGGCGGGGGCGGAACCTGGTCAGAGGAGAGCGGGCGCCACGTCCTCCGGATGGGCGCCAGCGGCACATCGGGCGCACTTCTGTTCCAATCCGACATCGGGGAGCGCATCTTCGTCGTCCTTGGCGTGCACAACTACGCGCGTTGGTGTGACGTCGTCACCGGTCTCGTCGGGCACGACACTGCGCTCGTCCTCCTGCCCCAGTACTATGGCGGCGGCTCAAGGGCATTCATGCGTGAGAAGACGCTGCCCGTGTACGGCGTGACAAGCGCGAAGGGGAGGAGAACGGAGGTCAAGTACTCCGTCTACGACGGGCACGAGCTCAAGGCGGATATCATCATAGGTTGATGGATCATGCATGCATATCATGCCTGGGAGGGCAGGGGCCACGCACGCCCAAGAGCAGACGTTACTTTCTAGTGCACTTCCCGAGATAGAAGCCTGTTTCAGTACATGTGTAGGAGTTGTTGATGAACCACAGCTGAATTGAATTGACTTAAGTTGGTATTCTGACGACGCCGCCGTTTCTCGCGCCTCCGTATCAAATTGAGAATTCATTACACTACAGAACAGACATACATTCTCATACAATGAATGCCTGAACGTCAGACATGATTTCAGTAAAACATACATTCGCGCCCAACTCGAACATTCAGCGTTAGACGATTTTGCGCTTCTTCCCTTTTTCTTCCTTACCAATGTGTCCTCATCACTACACTCTGCGCTTCTTGTTAGTCGCCTCGGCATCTGGGTGAAGCAACTTGCGCTTGTCGCCCGCCCGCGTCATCTCCTGTTGCTGCCTCCGGACTGTCTGGCCCTTCTTTGCTTTCGGCAACGCTTTGACGGGCGCACGCGTGACACGAGCCCCGCGCTGTTCCCGCACGCGCAAGGACCGTCTGAGGACCGGTGCAACCACCGTGACCGTCTCTTCGCCTTGTCCGTCGACGATATCTGAGTCTCTATCGACAATGTTAACAGCAGCTTCTGCGTGCGCATCCACACAAGTAGGGTCCGCATGGTTCGAGACTGCTTCCTCGCCCTCGGATTTCGGAATGGCCTTCACCCCTCCTTCCGCGGCCTGGGCTTCCGGTGAGTTCGCGTCCGATATCCGGGATCCTGGTTCTGTGGGCGTATACAAAGTCTCCTCCCTCGGCAGCCACTGGTTGATTGGTTTCCGGGTGCCGGCGTAAATGCTGCGTTGGCGAGCCTTGATTGCGAGAGGATCTTTCCAGCGAAGCAACTCAGCGTGGTAAGGCGATGGCGGCTTTCCTAGCGTGAGCCATTGATACTTTCTGGCTTCCCGAGGAGTGGGTCTGGCGAACGGATCCTCCTGCGTCAGAGCTTTCAAGAGCTCTCGACCTGCGATTTGCGTCAGTCGCCGTCGAGTGCGTTGCTGAATGTATAATACTCACACTCTGGCGTTAGGTTGATGGTGGTCCTGGCTGGACGATCCTCCCGCGTTTGAGCTGTGATGAGCTCTCGAGCTGCGCTTCGGGTCAATCGCCGGCCCTCGCTCTCGGAGGTGATTTGGCTGTCATCAATCAGGAACAGCTGGGACACCCTCCGCGATATCTGCTCAATCAAAGGCCGTCGCCGCTTGTTTGGTAAGAGCAAGAAGGGACGCGTGGCAAATAGGCTGGCAATTTTTAACCCCAGTTAGATCAAGAGAATTGGAATTATCGCGGCTTACATGAAGAACATGATCAGGCCTGCACCGTATGCATCGCTGCGCTCGGTAAATTGGCGATTGAGAAGCTCGGGTGCGGCCCAAGCTGCTGTACCTGCTGGACTCTGCGTAAACTCGCATCAGGCATTTCAGTCCGAAGAACGAGTTGTGAACCAACCACTGATTGACTCATGGTCAATGTGTACTGTGAGATCCCGAAATCCGAGATTTTGACACTGAGGCGACCTCTTTTGTCTTTGTGAAAGACAAGAATGTTCTGCGTTTGTCATGACAAAATAGTCAGGGGTCTGAAAGCTTTCGAATGACTAACAACGGCGAGACAGACCTCAGCCTTCATGTCCCGATGAAGAATTCCACGGCCGTGTAAGAACTACGCATAATGGTGAGTGTGATTCCTTAAGGAGCTCCGAAAGCTCACCATGAGACCCTCGATGATCTGCACCATGACGGAGCGCGCAACGAATTCCGCTGAAAACAAGAGCAGCATGTCAGTGATCGGAAGACAATCCATCATATACACCGCAGCGTACTCAGGGCGCCTTCGTGCTCGACGTAGCACTCCAAGCTATTGTACGCCGCCATGGAGGAAACAATGCCTTGAAAGATGTGGCGTAAATAGGCTGGAATGGACTGAGCATTCAAGTCACTAACAGAGCAATTTATCGTCATTATAGATGGATTCTGGATGCATGAACCAGTCGGACGGAGAAAGGATGTTGTTGTGGTGTCCTAGTTCATACCATAGGCGTAGTTGAACTGCCTCTCTATGCATTGCGCCCGGAGGTACAAATGTACACTTCACGGCGACTGCCTGATTCGTCCTGGCATGCCGCGCAGCGTATACGACTAATAGTGAATATGAGCCCAAGATCGGATATGCCAATTGAATGGGTTCCTAACCTCCTTCGCCTCCCTGCCCGAGTACAACCTGGTTCGTGTCGACCACGTAGCGATGACAGTGGGTAGGTGCAAATGGCTCATCTTTCATGAAGTGAAATATAAAGTCTGAATAGATTGTCATATGAGTTCGGGTGTTGATGCCTCTTATCACCTGCTTACCCATGTCACCAATGCTTATCACGGATTCCGTCTTCAGTAATCGGAACTCGGGTTCGTGCTCGGAGTGCGGATCTGAGAACGGAACCTCCTCATCGTTCACCTGATACCCGAGTGAGATTCGATCACTTCCTCCGATGTGCAGAACATACGCAAACGGAGACGTCGGCAGTTATTCGCTGTATTTTGACCTCTTCCTCACTGCCAATCTTGCGTTTGAATATCACCGCCAGTAAAGAGGCTAGATCTATGCTCTCGTGTGAGGAAGGAACTGAGAGAGATGTCCATGTGCCACTCACCTGGCTCTGTACTTGCGGCATGCAGCTCCTTGTTTTTAGTATATATGAACCATATATCAGCCCCATTGCCGAAAGCCAGATGTGCATGTTCAGGGTGGCAGGACTCCAGGTAGCCCCAGTTGTTGGCACGGAGTGCGTGGAGGGCGTCGTTTACGATGCGAACGAATCTTTCGGTTGGATCGCAGGTCGATGGCGAAGCCATCGTGATGCAGGTGGGGTGAAACGCCAGCAGGGGGCTCTCGCAAGCGTTGTCGGTAGGTTAAATACAAATCAAAACAATCACCTGCCGAGGCACAATGGACGAAAGAACTATCGGTCATGTCGCCCGCAAGGCCACAAGGTGTCGATGTGGACCCCACATCTTTTTGTTGGCAAATTTCTTGAATCATGGACAGTTAGTGTCCTTGTACCTATGGAATAGTGAACACATGTTGCCTTGCGCTACAATGCAATACGCAACGTACCGTATGATGAGGACGATCTCATTGCTCCAGGGAGGCGGAAACGAATATTGAGATCGAATCGCCGAGGCCACTGTCCAGGTTTTGCTCACAAAGCCCAATCACATAGAAGCTTGGGCCACGGCCAGTGACGGTGGCTTATCATCGAAGTGGTGCGTAAGGTGAGCGTGGTCTCACTCGAGGAAAGATACGACTAGAGGAAAAATACAACTCACTAAGCTGCCGCTCTCGGCTCTCGGATGTGGCACAAGTCATCCCTTTCATCCGTTCTATTGCTATGAAAGCATCGCATCGTAGTCAAATCCATACACATCCGGTACGATTGCTCTGACAGTGCCGTTAATGATAGCGGGGTCGGCTCTACCATCCCTAGGCCGTACTTCCAACTGCTCCGCAGGAATCCAGCGGTAATGATCCATGACCAAATGACGCCACTGTCGCCGTTCCTCGTCCCATTCCGCGAATTCATCCTGGAGCTTGTTGATGAAGGTCGGATTGCCCTCTTCCTCCCCCGACTGATTTCGGAGCTCCAAAACCCACGGCGGAAGGGACCGCACAGCCCTGACGAAGCAGTCGGAGCAACGTCCCGCTTCTATGTTCCAGGCTTCTAAAACGAAGTAGATGCTTTCGGGGATATGATGGAACTGGATCGTAAACTGCTTGTGCCGCCGGGGGCGTCGGGGACGTAGGGGCATAGGCACAAGAAACACATCACTGTCGTCTAGCCGATCCAACGGGACGGGATTCCTCAACGGGAGGAGAGCCCTCAGGATGCGCTCCTTAATCGTCGCAACGAGGTTCAGATCGTAATCGTCGTAGGGGCGAGGGCGATCACCCCAGTCTTCGAAAGCGAATCCTTGTGCGTCAACCCCAAAACGGGGCCTAGGGGGAGGATATTTCCGGGTCATGTCTACGCGCTCCTGTTGCGATGCGGTTCGTGGGCACGTATGAGGGGCAGGATGTTCCTTTTGGAGAGCATCGAACTCGGCGTACAGCGGCCGTAGGTCCTTGTGCGGCATTGCGGCGAGCAGGCTCCCCATTGTGGCTCGGATCTGCTTCGCTGAGGTTATGAAAGATTCGAATACGACGGACGGGTCCCTTCCTAGTGCATCCCATGAGTATTCTCGAGGTGGGGCAGGATTATCCGCTGGAGGTTTTCTATAATATCGTGAGGGAGATTCTTATGATGAGGTAACGGAATAGATAGCGTACCGCTTTGCTCTGCCCTTCTTCCCTCGTCTTTTCCGTTGCTGAACGGGGCTCTGGGGTGGAGTCTCCACACGCGGTGTTTCCAATACTGCGATATTCGCAAGCACATTCCTAACAGAGCTCATCGCTCGTGCAACCGCCTTCTCTGTCTCCGCCACAATCTGATCTACACCCTTCGCTTTGCGTCGCACGGTCTTCACATCGACGGACGCATGGGCGGATCCCACTGTTGCCTTCGACCAATGACACGACACAACGGACTCGTCGATCTGCCGTCGTCGCTTCGGCGGGCTTTCTTCCTCCGGCTCGGCCGGAGAGTGGCGATGCATGTTGGGGCGGTTAGTCGACCTTGACGTGACCTCGTCGATATGGCGTAGTCGCTTCGGGGGTTCTTCCTCCGGCTCGATTTCAGCGTGGCGACGCTTGTTGGAACGCGTTCTCGGCCTTGACATGGCATCGTCGATATGACGAAGTCGCTTCGGCGAGCGTTCTTCCTCCAACTCGATCGGGGAGTGGCGACGTTTATTGGAACGCGTGGTCGGCCCTGGCATGGCACTTGTCCGCATGGAGGGCCCCGCCTTGGCCGATGGTGCAGGTTCATGTTGCCGGCGAGAGGTGCTAGCTTTTCGAGTAGTTGTTGTCACAGGAGGTTTTGTGATGGAAGATTGAGATGTGGAAGGGCGGCGGGTACGGAGGTTGTATGGGCGACGCAAGTTACCTGTAGCAAGATTCGTGAATATGAGCGTCAAGGCAACAGATACGGGCGTACTGGATATAAACTGCTATCGTTGCTCACCCACGTCGGGAACAGCGCTGGGAGGCTCACAAGAGCTCGAAGTGACGCCGTGTCGGCGGGCGGAGGTAGACACGAGAACCATCGAAGGATATATCTTCGTTTGATGCGGGTTCGAGTACGGCTTATAAAACCGGTACGTAGGAATAGCAATTGTTTGCTTGCAGAATACAGTCAAGTCAGATAGCTGAGTTGAGGTAGGACGTCAAAGAGGCATCTCAGACATAGCGCGCCATTAGGGCAGGCTCGATATGCCACTGATGTTCCACCTGGTGACTTGCCTCTGGCCAAGACGCGATGACATTCTGCGGTGGCCCTACTCTGCCCACCACGAACCGTCAGAACACCTTCGTGCCTCAATCTCTGCATGCGACCACCGGATGCTTGATAATCCAACAAATCAGTGGTCAGATCGATGTCTGTTCGCATATAGCGAATAAGAGTATATGCTCTGAGTTGCTTGCTTAGCCTGACTACATAACAGAGAGGAGGGCCATTCAAGGCAAAGAACGAGGGTAACGGCATCGATGTTGCAAATCACTTATTCCCCTTGCTCCGGACACCCTCTCGGACGCTTCTCGTTGATGGTTATAGGTTTCGTCGAACCGGGAAGATTTTGCTTACATGAAGAATAGAATGACACCCCCGCTAGAGGCGTCGCCGCTCTCGGAGTAGCTCCGTTCCGTTATCTCCCATGGATCCCAAGCACTAGAGCCAGCCGGAACCTAGCCATTGGGAAATGAGTGATGCGCGCGGAGAGAAACCAGAACGTCGTATCACCGATCACCGTCTCCCCTCGCCTCGGCGTGCGCGTCACGAAACTGAAATCAACACTCTTGATGCTGAGGCGTCCTCGATCATCGGTATGGAACACGAGAATGTTCTGGAGAGCACATGAAGCGGAATCAAGTCTTCAAGATTGATGCTGACACAAACCACCGGTTTCAAGTCACGGTCGACGTAGCCCTTCGAGTGGAGATACCGTGAAACTTAGTGACGACCTCGTCCCATACCAACCATCCATACCATCAATCCAGTGATATCGATTATATGCCGGAACAGGCGTAGCTCTTGTCCCATTGACGATGAGCGGATCCGCCGCACTGTCATACGCCCTCTCCTCCAGTTCTTCTATCGCTATCCATCGGTAATGATCGAAGACGAGGTGACGACATCGTCTTGTCGCATCGTCCCACTCGATTAATTCGTCCTTGAGACCGTTCCGAAACACAGGGTTGCCGTCTTCTAGTGCTTCGTTAGTGACGAGATCAATTACCCATGGCGGAAACGTCTTCAAAGCCCTGACAATGCAGTCGGAGCAGCGCCCCTGTTCGTAGTGCCAGATCTCCATTTGGGTTAGAATGGAGAGCGGTATGTGTTGAAACTGGACCATGCATTGCTTCTTGAAGACTCGCGGGCGCCGAGCGGAAAGGGCTGCAGGTACAAGGTAAACACCATTGAATGGAGGACCTCGTAAAGATAAAGACATGCGCGTGAGAAGGAGGTTTTCTTTCTCGAGGCGACGGATAAATCTGGAATTGGATGGCGGGGAGTGGCCCCAGTCCTCGTATGGAAACCCTTGGGGATCGACGCCGATCCTCGGCCTTGGTTGAGAGAATGGGAACCACTGCGTGGCTTCTTGTTGCTCGGCGGTTCGGGGGCATACATGAGGGATATGCTTCTGCGCTCGGAAGACGTCGATTTCGGCGCATAACGCCTGGAGGTGCTCGTTTGGAACCACGTCGTTGCTGATCCGGGAGCGGAGGTCGCTCAACATCGCGATGGCGGCCTCGTAATCAGCCGGTGTAGGCGGCTTCGTAGTCTCCGGTGGTGCATCTTCGGGTGCAGGCGCAGTCTCATCGTCATCATTCGTACTGCAGGCAATCATGTGGGTCAACGTGGCGATATCCGTGATATTGAAGTAAACATACCTGTGAGGTTGAGACACATCTACGTCCTGATCATCCATCTTCAGCAAAGCTGTCGCCCGTTTCGCGTTGAGATGCTCGATGTCCTCAAAGACGTCCAGCAAGATGCTCTGAACGCGCATCAGCACTCGCGCTGCCATGGCCTCCGTCTCCCCCATAGCTCTGTCTATGTCCTCCGCTTCGTCTCTCATCTTCTCCAGATCCAACAACCCACGTCGTGGATAGATCTTTCCCTTCGTACTGGTACGTGACGACATATTCTCGGCACCTCGAGAAGCTCCCGTGCGACGTCGCTTCAGGGAACGGTTTTCGATGGCGACATCGTCTCGCATCCGCTTGTTTGGATTGGTGGCGCATTTTGCCACGACGTCTTCAGGAGACCCTCGACGGCAAGCCTTATTTCGAGCTGGAGATCTAGCAGGGGCGTTCGAAGAGGCAAGCACATTATGTAGCGGGCGTGTGCGAGAGTCCTGTATGGCCTCCGGGTCACCTTCAACAAGCTTAAGCGCTAGCAACGCAAGCGCTCCGAACAAGTGTGCTCACCGTGTTGACCAGCGCCTACGGCAGCCATATAGCCTGATACAACTATGCCTTTCGAGTTGGGGCGTCGAATAGTCGCGTGAATATGGAATATGCCGGAGACTGCACGAAGGCGTCGATTCTTTTGTTGTTGGATTCACATCCAAGACACGACTTCCGCGCAGCGTCCTTGTATAGCAGACAATCCAAGATAACTCCCAATTATATTAGAAGCCGCCTGCATATAGACGAGAGTGTATGATCAACGGATCTTCAGCTTAGCTTTGACGTAGTCTACCCATCGTCGTCGACAATCGTTGAGCGAAGACACTCTCACGTGACGGTTCAGTGGTTCCCGGGCTTTTGCAGAGGAGAATCAAGCAGATCCAAATAACTACGGGCTTGACTGCCTGGCCCCTTGCAGTCGTTGTCGTACGAAACACTTGCGCCAACGATAGAAGGAGCGTCTTGTTGAAGCCGTCAATCCGGTCCAGGTTCCTCATCCTCACTGCGGCGGCGACTTGACGAGACGTTGATAAATATAGTTGGAGTAGCAAGGATATAACAAGGAGCAGACGCTCAAGGTGCAATGAGCAGCAATGGGGAACCATTCAGGACACAAATCCGCGCCCGGGAACTCGCTTGGCATTGCGGGGTAAGCTTCTGGAATCAAATTCCCCAACATGCGTCGGCTGACTGATCCCCAGACAGTGACTCACCTTGCGACATCCCGCACCGAAAACTACGTCAACATATATCCCTTCTTCGCTTGCGACATGATATATAATCAAGACCAGACCACACACCGGGGGGCTTTCAACCTAGTTCCACCCGTCATCTCGCGTCCCCAATGTCCGAGCAGCCGTTCACAGTGCACGTTCCCGACTCGGAGCTCGAGCTGCTTCAGAAGAAACTCGCCTTGACGCGTCTACCCGACGAGCTCGACGATGCCGGATGGGGGTACGGCGTGCCCCTCGCCGACGTGAAACGTGTCGTGGAACGATGGCAGAACGGCTGGGACTGGCGCCGTTACGAGGCCGAGATCAACAAGCTGCCGATGTTCACGCGCGATATCGACGTGGACGGGTTCGGGACGCTCAACATCCACTATATCCATCAGAAGAGTGAGGTGAAGGGCGCGATCCCGTTGCTGTTCGTCCACGGCTGTAAGCTGTCGTCTCACCGACTCGTTTGTCACGCTCATGAACATTGTACCTGCAGGGCCTGGCCACTTCCTCGAACCCGCGAAGCTTCTCCCTTTGCTCACCGCGTCATCGCCGGACCATCCGAGCTTCCACGTCGTCTCGCTCGGACTACCTGGCTACGGCTTCTCGGAAGCCCCTAAGAAGAAGGGGTTCAAAATCGCACAATACGCCGAGGTGAGCGGAGCGTTTTCGATGTTCACCGCCTTGCGAGGCGCTGATTCGTACGCAGGTCGGGCACAAGCTGATGCTGGCCTTGGGATATGATCAATATGGTGCGTCAGGTGCACGATGCAGTCTGTCCACTTTCTCATAGCGGCGTATCTTAGTGACACAAGGGGGCGACTGGGGTTATAGTGTAAGTCATCAGGGCTACCTCATATGTGCTTCCGTTAAACCTCCACCCTCTCAGATCACCCGAATGATAGCTCTGAGTTACGGCGGCAAGCACTCCAAAGCCTGGCACACCAACTTCCCTCGGTACGTCATCTCATTGTAACGCCTTTTCTCATCAATCTCATCACGAACTACATCGTGTCGCAGAGGCGATCCTCCGGCTTTCACGAAGCATCCCATCGCCTACATTCAGCACCTCTTCACCCCTTATACGCAGTCGGAGAAAGTGGGGCTGGAACGCACGGAAAAGTTCATGAAGCTCGGGAGAGGTATGCGCCCGTCTCGCATCGCCCTTGCTTGACCCGACACTGATACCTCGGTGTTCAGGGTATTCCGCCGAGCATAGTACGCAGCCCCAGACGCTCGGGTACAGCCTTGCCGACTCCCCGGCTGGCCTGCTCGCCTGGATCTACGAGAAGCTCCATAACTGGTCTGACGGATACCCATGGAAAGACGACGAAGGTGCGCGCTTCGCTAGACGCATTCTGTCCCCCCCCCCCCTCCAGAACAGTCCGACTGACGTCGTTCAAAAGTTTTGGACTGGGTGTCGATTTACTGGTTCTCCCGAGCCGGCCCGACGGCATCGATCCGCATATACTACGAGGTGGAAAAAGGCGGAGACCAACATTTCGTCGGTGCGCCGAAGATTCCGATGGGCGTTTCGTATTTCGCGACCGAGCTGGTGAGGGTGCCCAAGCTGTAAGCACCAAGCTATCACGATGATGGCTCCGGGGATGTTCTGACCGGCCGCCTGTCCTCTCCGTAGCTGGACCCGTCTGACAGGAAACGTGGTGTTTGCATCGGAGTGGCCGTCCGGCGGACACTTCGCCGCCCACGAAAAGCCTGAGGAGCTCGCGACGGATTTGAGGAAGATGTTTGGCAAGGGCGGGAAGGCGTACGGCGTTGTATCCGGGAAAGATGGCTACTAATGAACGCGCTTACCACTCGTGACACGTCCTCAGCTCAGAATGTCTTATCCATAGTATACATATAATGATATACTAGCTTGAAGCTATAATTATAACAGATCCGGTCAGAGTGATGTCATCAACACACTGTCGGCAACATCCGGCGTTGAGTACATACTTAGAGAGTGTTGCCCAAAGTTCCTTTACTTACTTACTACTGCGGGGCAAATCTCCAAAATCAAATTCCCCGGTAGCGCTAGGCTTGCAACTGACTCAGCATGCGACCCGCTACACCCCTAATGACATGATATATCATACCTACTCGACCTACATAGTCCTCCTACCTACCCTCTCGCGTCCCCAATGGCCTAACAACCGTTTACCGTGCACATCCCCGACTCGGAGCTCGAGCTGTTGCAGAAGAAGCTCGCTTTGACGCGTCTCCCCGACGAACTGGACGATGCCGGATGGGAGTACGGCGTGCCCCTCGCCGACGTGAAGCGCCTCGTTGAGAGATGGCAGAACGGCTGGGACTGGCGCCGTTACGAGGCAGATATCAACAAGCTGCCGATGTTCACGCGCGATATCGACGTGGACGGGTTCGGCACGTTGAACATACACTATATCCACCAGAAGAGCGAGGCGAAGGGCGCCATTCCGTTGCTGTTCGTTCATGGATGTGAGTGATATTTCCGACGCATTCTCATAGCACTCATGAAGGTTACAGGGCCCGGCCACTTCCTCGAACCTGTGAAGCTCCTCCCTCTACTCACCGCGTCCTCGTCGGACCACCCCAGCTTCCACGTCGTCTCGCTCGGATTACCTGGCTACGGGTTCTCGGAGGCACCGAAGAAGAAGGGGTTCAGGATGGCGCAGTACGCAGAGGTGAAGCGGAGGTTGTTGTCTTCTGGACTTGCGTAGCTGAAGAGACCCGTCATTCGCAGGTCGGAAACAAGCTGATGCTGGCCTTGGGTTACGACGAGTACGGTGCGCCAGCCGAACGCTCTCACTTGTTCACCTTCCGTTAACGACGTAACTTAGTTACGCAAGGTGGCGACTGGGGCTACGGCGTGAGTCCCCAGGTATAATCCATGTGTTTTTTCGTCGACCATCGACCTTCTCAGGTTACCCGGATGATAGCTCTGAATTATGGAGGCAAGCACTCCAAAGCCTGGCACACCAACTTTCCGAGGTACGCCACCCCACATCCAGCTGCCTTTTCGTAGATCGCCTCACGAGCCCCGCCATACGCATCGTAGCGGCGATCCTCCGGCCTTCACGAAAAACCCCGTCACCTACGTCCAACACCTGCTCACACCCTATACGGATTCGGACAAGAGACGCTTGAAACGCATGAACGAATTCGTGAGAGTCGGATGTGGTGCGCAGCGTTCCTCGTCTTCGTCGCTTCGACAGCACATGGTGTCTGAATCCAGCGATTTGGACTTTCAGGCTATTCAGCACAGCAGGAGACGCAGCCCCAGACGCTCGGGTACAGCCTCGCAGATTCCCCGGCAGGCCTGCTCGCCTGGATCTACGAAAAGCTCCATCGCTGGACGGACGACTATCCTTGGAAGGACGACGAAAGTCCGTCTTCCGTCTTTCTCCACCACATCTTTCGTTTTCCTGATCGCCCTCGAACTGATCCTCCAGTCTTGGACTGGGTGTCCATCTATTGGTTCTCCCGCGCCGGACCCGCGGCCTCGATCCGTATATACTACGAGGTCACCCAAGGCGGAGACGACGAATTGCTCCGCCAGACTCCGACCATCCCCATGGGCCAGTCGTACTTCCCCAAGGAGCTCGACAGCTCGCCGAAACTGTACGTCGTTTTTTTTTTCCTTCTTCTTTCGACTCTTCTTCTTTCTCTGGGGATTTGGACTCACGCTGATCGTGACGGGGTCGTGTTTGCTTAGGTGGGCTCGCACCGCGGGTAACGTCGTGTTCGAGTCGGAGTGGCCGTCCGGCGGACATTTTGCGGCGCACGAGCAGCCGGAGGCGCTCGCGACGGATTTGAGGAACATGTTCGGGAAGGGCGGGAAGGCGTACGGCGTCGTGTCTGGAAAGGATGGGTATTGAACCAACAACTTGTGACGCCTTCATCGTCAGAACTCAGAAACAAACTATCGAAGTAACGCGCCCACGTGACAACTATCATATACAGCTCTTAACCATTACTTAATCACTGCCAGGGTTTCGCATTACGAACGAAGTCTGGATTACTTTTTCTACAAAAATCCGTATTTCAGATAGAATGGCTGGTTCAGATGTGGTATGAGCATGCAAGCGGACGTCGTGTCGACCGTTGCGCGCGCGGCGCGCGCGCACCCTCGCGTGGTATGGACTTATTAGGATACGAAAACTTATACTTCCGCCTTCAGATAACCGTCTCCTTTTTCGCGAGCACACGTCTCACTCGCTCCCACATCCGAGCAGTGAGACGTGAGTTCTTCTGTTGCCTGTATACCCTGTGCCGAGAGCTAATGTACCGTAGTTACTTATCTACTAGGTACACGAATGCATACTCGCTCCCACATCTGAGCAGTGAGACTTACTTATCTACTAGACCGCCTACTCGTTCCGTTCGCGCTCCGTCCCGTCTCTCGTACACCTTCATTAGAGACATAAAGTACAAACATACTGTACTTTTACGACCGTAAGTTCGTCCCGCGTCCCCGGGGCACCCGAACCGAACTTATTGTCCCCTGTCCCCTGGCACTCCGAACCTCCGGGACACATTATATCTGACCGTGAGAGTCTTAAATCTGACCGTGTGAACAAAAAATCTGACCTTGTAAGCACGTGTCCCCCGGGCAGGCTGCGGATGAACTTCCCACGGCCCCGAACTTGGTGGGTGTCCCCTGTCCCCCTCCGACCTGGCCGAACTTACGGTCGTAAAAGTACAGTACTCTCAACGGAATAATATATCCCTATAAGGCAGGTCACCTGCCATATAGGTATATATTACTTGTGCAAACTATCTTTGTATTGAATGTAACGATCACATTTGAACCAGCCATTTGATATGAAATACAGATTTCCGTAGAAAAAGTAATCCAGACTTATTTTGTAATGCGGAACCCTGGCAGTGAATCATCGCACAGGTCGACGCTCGTTGTCGCTGATTCCTGCTACTTCCACCCACTTCCGACTACGATGCACCGCGCACTCCAGATTCCAGAGATACTAGCACGGATTGTCGACCAAACGCGCGTCGTAGCTGTAGCTGAATGGGCAGTAACTCACAGGGATCATGCCACACTATGAAAGCCTCAACGAACTCAAAATTACTGTGCCTTTCGACTGGAACGACGAGACCGTGGAGCACATTGCACTCTCGTGTCCCGCGCTCACGTCCCTGAGCCCGCTCTTTCACGAGCTGCCGGATTGGACTTGGGAGTTTCCGGATTGGAAGGTCTCCACCTCGTTGGCTGCGCTCGTGCCGCTCGCCGTTCACTGCCCGCGATTGCAGCAAATCAAGATACCTGTCAGCGAGCAAGGTTGCGTGACCCCGACGCTTGAGCCTCCGCCCGGGTTCAGAGGCAAGCCGGATTTTGTGGCACTGAAACTAGTGCTTGTGCCTTCATATTCTATGCCTGATCTATGGTCCCTTAAACCCTTTCTCTCGATGTTATTTCCTAATTTCTGGCCAGTCTAGATTGTGCCCTTGTGCATAAACATATAGCGGGACGTAATTACGATGGCGAATGCAATCGTACAAGGTTGTTGCCGCAGCCGACAAGTTGCTATTGCGATGGCTCTTTGGCGCTACAGTCCTACGTTTCCGGTGTTTGCTATTCATTTATTCGATGATCCTGCAGACACCCCTCTATCTGTCACCCCTCGCGTACATGCTTAGTGCTTTGACGGAATTTCGCTTTTGGTGATATGTATACATAAGTGCTTCGTGATGTGTAGTTTGCGCAACGGTTTTTTGGTCTCCTTCCCATCGCAAGCTGGACGTGGCAGTTCCTTCCACCAGTGCGCTGCCTGTTCTGGTCAGGTCGGAGGCTGCGGGGTAAACAATCAAAATCCCAGGTAGAAGGTTGCCGCTGACCGAGCCGATCCACCCTGCGACCGTCGCACCAAACTTGGAAGCCTGTATACGTCAACATCAACCTTCGCCTTCGCCGAGTTTGCGACCAACTATATAAGTCATGGGTCGACACCGTATGCCTACCCTTCGCCTTTGCATTCTCGATGACCGAACAACCGTTCTCCCTGCACATCCCCGACTCTGAGCTCGAGCTCTTGCAGAAGAAACTCGCGCTGACACGCCTTCCCGATGAACTGGACGAAGCTGGGTGGGAATACGGTGCTCCCCTCGCCGACGTGAAGCGCCTCGTTGAGAGATGGCAGAACGGCTGGGACTGGCGCCGCTACGAGGCCGAGATCAACGAGCTGCCGATGTTCACGCGCGATATCGACGTGGACGGGTTCGGGACGCTCAACATCCACTATATCCACCAGAAGAGTGAGGTGAAGGGCGCGATCCCGTTGCTGTTCGTCCACGGTTGTGAGTTCGTCGTATCATCGACTCGGTAATCATCGTCCATTGACGTTGAACGTGCAGGGCCCGGCCACTTCCTCGAACCTGCGAAGCTCCTCCCTCTGCTCACGGCGTCCTCGCCCGACCATCCCAGTTTTCATGTCGTCTCCCTCGGACTGCCTGGCTACGGCTTCTCGGAGGCACCGAAGAAGAAAGGGTTCAGGATGGCGCAGTACGCTGAGGTGAGAACGATTCGGCGTCTACCTCGCCGCATCCTGAGGAGACTCGGGATACGTAGGTCGGGCACAAGTTGATGTTGGCCTTGGGATACTCCGAATACGGTGCGTGCGGTGCACACAACAAGCATGGCTGCCGTCTAAATGCGAGTTGAGGATAGTCACTCAAGGCGGCGACTGGGGCTACAGAGTGAGGATACGCTAGATTTGTTTTCGCGTGGCTTCACCGACTGAAGCGCACCCCCCAGATTACCAGAATGATAGCTCTGAAGTACGGCGGGAAACATGCGAAGGCTTGGCACACCAATTTTCCCCGGTACGTCTCAGCAAGACCCTGTCCATCCCCAACGCACGCTCATGCGCTTCACGCAGCAGCGGAGAACCGCCCGTTTTCACCAAGAACCCGATCGCCTACATCCAGCAACTGCTCACCCCGTACCAGGAATCGGAGAAGGCCGGCCTCGAGCGCTCGGAGTGGTTCAGCAAACTTGGGAGAGGTAAGTAATGTCGCCACCGCCCGTTTCCGCCCTGCGCACGACCCAATGGCTAACGCGTCCCGCTCAGGATATTACGCCCAGCAGTCGACTCAACCCCAGACGCTCGGGTACAGTCTCGCCGACTCGCCCGCCGGCCTGCTCGCCTGGCTCTACGAAAAGCTTCACCATTGGACGGACGCTTACCCATGGAAGGACGACGAAAGTGAGGCTCAAAGGTTCGTATACGAGTACCCCGACTGATTTGTCCTCCTCAAGTCTTGGACTGGGTATCGATCTACTGGTTCTCCCGCGCCGGACCGGCTGCCTCGATCCGCATCTACTACGAAGTCGAACAAGGCGGAGACATCGACCTACTCCGCGAGAGCCCGAAGATCCCGATGGGGCTGTCGTACTTCCCCAAGGAGCTGGTCCGCGTGCCGAAACGGTATGTGCCGCAAACATTCGCTATCGCTCGTCTGCGCTGCTCGGATCGCTCTGAATGAATGGTCTTTTTTCGTCGCATTAAAGCTGGACGCGTCTCACAGGAAACGTCGTGTTCGAGTCGGAGTGGCCGTCCGGCGGACACTTTGCGGCGCACGAAAAGCCGGAGGAGCTCGCGACGGATCTGAGGAAGATGTTTGGCAAGGGAGGGAAGGCGTACGGCGTCGTTCCCGGAAAGGACGGCTACTGACCCATGTTCACTCGCCCTTTCCATTCGGACGTCGCTGCGGCATTTTTTTAACAGCAAAACAAAAGCGAACTGTTCCTGTCATATATGTAAGGTTATACATATATTCAGTCAAATGACGTCGTGACGACTCCGGCATCTGCCGGCGTTGAGTAGCGGACTCGTCTCCTTTCCTCTGTATTGTGGCTTCCGCCTTGTGTACCTTGCCATCTGGCTTGTATACGTTATTCTCATGTCTGGACGGCCGCATGATAATGAAACGGATCCCGTGTATCTATCTCTTCCACTCTCGGTCCAGCGTCGTATAGACCGAGCATTTCACCGCGTAACCTCAAGTGCCTCTTCTTCCTCCTCCTCCTCCCCGAGACCAAGCAAGCGACGCAAGGTTCAGCAAAATGACGCGGACTACTCCAGCGTAGGCGGATTCCTGATTGACGACGCGCCAGGTGGCTTTGTGGTTGAAGACAACGCGGCAGGTGGGGGTTTCCTCGTCGACGACACGACCGGCGGCGGATTCTTGCTCGACGAATCCAACTCGCCTCCGCACTCATCCTCGCCCATACCGACGAATACGAAGCCGACGCAGATCCCTCTTCGACTCGTCCCCTCCGCGCTCGAGCTGCTGTCTCTACCCCCGGACGACCCGCAGGTGTTATCCGTGTTCCGGAACGCCGCGTCCGGCTGGGAGGACGCAGGTGGTGCTAGAAGGGCCGAAGACGACGACGAAGACGATGCGAGGGTGGTGAGCTTGAAAGACTGGCGCGCGGTGTGTGCGGTCCTGCTGGAGGGCGAGGCCGGAAGCGATGAGGACGAGGTGGATATGGATACGGCGGTCGCTGTGGGGGCGAAGTCTGAACGGGACGATGGTGCGGGACCCGCGACGCGGACGCGGCGCAAGACGGGGGCCTCGGCGCCGAAGAACGCGCACTCGTACGAAGAGGAGGATTCCCCGCCTTCCGACGGCGAATATCGTGAAGGCTCCGAATCGCCGCTTACGGAGGAAGAAGACGAGGAGTACACGTCCGCCACCGCTCGCCGGAGGTCGGTCAAGGCGAGTGGTGGTGTGAACAGGCGCACTGCCGGCGACAGCGACGAAGACGAGGACGACGTGCGAACGCTCTCCGCTCGACAGAAGGCGGAGTGCCGCAAAGTCTTCGCGATGTTCCTCGATATAGACGGTGACGGAGGGAAGGAGAAGAAAACGCTGGAGTCGAGGCGGATCATGATCAGGGACGTGGACCGGGTCGCGAAGCTGCTGAAGGAGAAGATCACCGCGGATGAGGTACTTGCATCCCTCGATCTTTCCTTCTTTGTGCTACATCTAATGACATGTTGCATTCTGCCATAGGTGGTTGAGATGCTCCATGCATTCTCATCTTCATCTGACCGGTCGATGTCACTGGGCGACTTTGAGAGGATGATGGTAGCCACGAGGCTGGTCTAAGATGACACTGGCGTGTACTGTACCATGCGTCCGCGTACGTCAATTATACTATGAAATAGAGCATCTCGACGGGTTGTCCAGGGGCACAGAGAAGATGGCCGCTCACGGCCGCCTTCTTCCAAAAATACGGGCGGGTCTTTTGCCTCTACAACCGCGCGATTCACGTCAAAACAACATCGCTCTCGTTGCGCGACCGCAACGTGCGGATCTCCCTGACGTGAGTATCATGTCTTTATCATATGCAGCCTTCATATGGCATATCGGTTTATCAGTTAATCCGCGCCTTCATACAACAGAACCTCATGGCCCGCATATCATTCGGGCGCATGCATGGGGGCAATCTACGGACTCCCCAAGCTATGAACGCCGGCCGCAATCCGATCCACGAGATCGTTATCGGGGGTGGGAGCAGCTATACTTCCGGAAACGAACGAAGCCCGGTGGCGTTTCTGTGGAAGCAAGCTGAACGAGGCGTCCCAACCATGGAACGAAGTCTCATCCGTTCCTTTTCCGCTCGCGCCCGCCCAGGCTTATCGCCGGCTTCTTCGAACAACTTCGCGTGAAAAACTCAATCAAGTCGAACCCCACGTTCCGTCGCGATGGGTACTGAGCGCGAACATCTTGGAGAGGCCAAGGAATGGCCATTCAGAAACCCGCCCGCGATCTATCTCGCGCGGACTGAATGCGGGTCTAGCTTCGAAATCGTGCAACGTTGGAGTGGCCATTCAAACCCCACACGTTGCTTCTAGCGGAAGCCCGAAATAACGAGCTTCGATTCGTACAAACGACGCCGCCACTGCGCGCTTTCCGGAGGTGTCGACCGAATAACAGTTGCGATGGACTATCTACTCCTGTGCGTGCCTCCCCGCCTTTCTCAGTCGAGACGCCTCTCATCGTCGCGCCACTCAGAGCATCATGAGCCTAGATAAAGAGAGCGTAGACGCCGTTCTGGAAGTTGCCCAACCCTTTGATCCTGATCGCGTTAACTCGAGCGGACACCCAGATAGGCTTAGAAGGCACTACTACATCAAGAGTATAACTGGGACTGCTCTTACGATCGATGCTGCGTGGCTTTCGATGTAGGCACCACGTCAATGTCGGATGGTCTAACGGATCTGTATACTGAAATGTTTTGCGCCAGGGGAAGTTCCCTTGCCGTCGCGTCAGCCAACGGGGGTCCGCCTGGAGTAAGTACCTGTTATCATGCAGTGCATATCATGTTCGCCAAGTTTGTGCGTAGATTTTATACGAGCTTTTGGCGGCTTGCTTCTATTATATATTCATCAATGCGTCTTTGGCCGAGCTTGCAAGCTCCATTCCATCTTCAGGAAGCGGTGAGTGTTTCCCTCTGTTTCGCTGGGCAGACTATTGACCGTGCCAATATAGTATACCATTACGCCTCGGTCACCCCAGGTCCCCGCTATGGACGGATAAACGGATTCTTTGCGGGGATCATCAATCTCTTCGCCTGGCTCTTCGGCATCGCGTCCTCTGTCATCATTAACTCCACCCTCGTGCTCGAGATATACCGCCTCCACCACCCCGAGTTCACGATCGAACCGTGGCACATCTTTGTCACCTTCCTGATCTTCAACACCTCGGTGTGCCTCTTCGTGATATTCTGCAACCGCATCTTTCCCGCGTACCAGTCCTTCGGCGGGATCCTCCTCATGATCTTCGGCGTCATCACCGTCGTCATCGTGACCGTCATGGCCCCCAAACACGCCAGCAACTCCTTCGTCTGGACTAGATGGTCCAACGTCACCGGATGGTAAAAAGATACCTATTACCGTCTATCATTCGACTCACACCCACTTGCTCGTAGGCCCGATGGAGTGGCGTTCATCGCCGGCATGCTAAACGGCGCGTTCACGATCGGAACACCCGACGCCGTCACCCACATGGCGGAGGAAATGCCATCTCCGCGCAAGGACCTCCCCAAGGCCATCGCGCTGCAGCTCGTTTTCGGGACGATCAGCGAGTCGCCCACTGCTCCGCGCTGATCTCACCTCTGACTCTCCAAACAAAATCATAGTGGCGTTCGTGTTCGCGGTCGCTATCATGTACGGCGTCAACGACTTTGACGCCATCCTCGACGTGGCGGATCAATTCCCGCTCACGCAGTTCTACGCTCAGGCTACCGGGAGCCGTTCGGCGACTACTGGCTTGCTGATGCTGCTGCTCATTCCGTCCGTCTTTATCATGCCTGCGACATACGTCCTGGTCAGCCATCGGTCTTCGGCGCTTGCACGGTGTAGATGATGCTCTCATTTACAGGTCGGGAGGACGCTGTGGACGCTAGCTCGCGACAACGTCGTGCCCTACTCTGCATGGATGTCGCAGACATCTACCGAGCTCAGCTGTCCCGTTCAGGCCACAGTCGTGACGTGTACGTCCCCAAAATCCGCATGGGAGACCTCCGGGGAACGTCTGAAACAACTCTCATTCGCCAGACGTCCTTACCACGGCTCTCGGCGCAGTGAGGCTCGGGAACTCCACTGCGTTCGGTGATATAGTCGCAAGCTACGTTATATTGACCGCGATGAGGTACGGTCGTCGACGGATATCTTCGCCTGGATCCGTATTCGGACTGATACGGGTCTTATGTTAGCTATCTCCTCGCTATTCTACCCCACCTTCTCACCGGACGCCGCAACGTACCCATCGGTTCGCATCGGTCCTCATCTCGCAGAGGTGTCTCACTTACACGTCTCTTTTTCTTCTTCTCTCTCTCTTCGCTTGCGTAGGGCCTTTTTGGATGGGAAGATGGGGATACGCGGTGAACGCGCTGGCGGTGATATCCATCATCGTCACCAACATATTCTACTGCTTCCCCTTCTCCCTCCCCGTGACCACAGGGCGAGTCGCGCGTCGATTTTTTTTGAGTGTGGTGCATATCAAAGATGGCTGACGATCATTTTCCAGGACGATGAACTACAACGCTGTGATCCTTGTCGGCCTCCTTGCTCTGACGTACGCATGGTGGCTTATACATGGTGTGCGGAACTACGCCGGCCCTCGTATCCCACACCTTGACGAGGCTGGCCATCGACTGAAGTCTATGGAGTTCATTTGAGATGCATCGGATGTAGTTTATGCGCCGTGTTGATGATATATGCGGTCACATTGCCGCGTTTATATACACACGTTCTTCATGAGAAAGCTACCATTTGCGAGCGATTGATTCTGGACAAAAGTGGCCGGACTTGTGACGATAATCGTGAGGGGGCCCCTGGGTATCACTAGATCACGCAGGGTTGTACCATTCCAGGGCACCACCACCAATCAAATCTGGGCGGATGAGCGCCGTTGTGAGACGCCTCCGGTTGAAGCACTCGCTGGTCCAGCAATAAGCCCCGTGCACGCGCATTGAGATCGTTGCTGAACTCACCTATCAATCGCGGGGTTCCTTTATTCTCTCTCAGAAGCGACGTAAGGAACGGCCTCCATTTCCAGTTCCTTGTCAGCGTTTCTCTTGCTGGGATCAAAACGTGTCCCCTTGTGAACGTTCTCGATGTAAAGGTTCACGCCCTTTAGCGGGGAAAAGTAGTCCATGGCGATCCTCTCCAGTATGTGCGGTATATCCACGTAGTTCCAGTCGATATTGACGGTGAGATCTCGGAGATGTCGAAAATGGGGGCGCACGAAGTGATCGCTGGCTACATCACAGACGTCTTCGAACCAAGCATAAGCGCTGGAACGGACGTTGAGCTCCAGTGTTAGGCTCAAACGGAAACGTCGGTTTGAATCGACTTGCGCGAGTGAGAGGGACAGGCAGTCGAGGATTGCAGGAGTAGGCGAGAGAAAAACCAGCGTCGCTTGGAAGGTTTCGATGAATGGTATGCTATGAAGGTCCAATTGCCCTGCGATGTCGTCAAACGTAAGACAAGGTCACGCATAGCGTACTGTTCTATACAAGTGCTAGAACACTTACAAGCATCCGCATTGATATTTTCAATATTCACTTCGACGTGTCGTAGGAAGCACAGGTGGCCAAGGAGTGTGTTCACGACCATGAAATGCTCGAGATCGTGTAGTATTCCCACCTCCAGCCCGTCGAGGTTGAAGAGATCTTTTGCCGAGGCACTAGCTACCTCGTCAGAGGGATCTTGTGATGTCACAATTTCGAGAGGATGTCCATCCCAGCGGAGGGTATATACGCCTCAAGGCAAAGACGGCGAAGGTTGGGCATACCCCTGAGTAGAGACCAGAGCCCGACACTCGACATGGAGGATGCAAAGAGGTCGAGAGTTTCCAAGCGAGGAAAGCTCCGGAGCATGTCGCACCAGCGCTGTGCTTCCTCAGCAGAGCAGCAGTGAAGAAGATCCACGGCCAAGTAGCCCAGGTTCGGGAGGTCAAAGCGTGCGAGGCGCCGAAGCGCGTGCGCGTGGAGGTCCACCCGTTTTATATGTCTTCCCAGTCGCGGTGACGATGCGAGCACCGCTCCTAGCCGGTCCACATCTTCCTTCGACATGGTGTCTATCGCGTCGACGGTCTGTGGAAAGAGATGGAACTGACTTGCAGAGACCCATTGACGACATACCAACGAGCAAGCCCGCAGCGCAGCGACATCGTCATGAAGGTGGTCGATGATGTTGTCACAAATCTCTGCAGGAAGACAAGGAGCGCGGCGCATTGTGGTCGTGGTAGAGTTTCATAATGACGTGGCAGTGTGCCAGGGTGCTCTCTTACGTACATTCGCTGGGCGTGTTGAGACGGTTCACGCAGTGGTGTGTTGCTCACTTTCGAACTATCATTGAATATGGCCCAAGAATGATTATCTGCGTACGTGCGACATCTATCTCAACGGGCCCGTGATCATGTTGAGGCGAAAATGTACGAAATCCTATGATGCCATGCATCCCGGTGATGTTGACAGCGCGATCTCACCTGTGTGCCAATACCAACGCTGGGATTTCGGAACGCGTCGTCAGTGGTGGAAATTTCTCGTGGACCTCACGCTATAGAATTACGATCGTCGCATTCCAAAAGCAACAGCTCTTCGAAGTAATGCCTTGTTTCTGGCTCTTGCTGGCGAGCAGTATGTATGAAGGCATTTCCGGTAGAGACTTCGTGCGCCTGTCCTGCCGGTTATATGTATCCCATAAGAATATGATGAGTGGCTCCTGTCTAGGTAAAGGAAAGAGAAAGTAACAGATACATGAGCAAGTATACCGGCACGCGAGCAGCACCGCCATGTTACCTTTTCGGGCGTGTGAATTACCCCTTTAGGCAGTCGTCTGCGCATGCCCCCCGGTGCACCCCCTGTATCGAGTCCTGCAGGATCAATTCTCGTCCGACTACCCTCAATCTGCTGTCAATCCCTAATCGCTGCTTAATTCTACCAATTCCACACCGTACGCCTGTCTCTAACGATCTGAATCGCCACCAATGTCTAGATCATTCACCTCAAACACAAGATCAGGGCGAAAAAACGCCGACCGTAAAACTTTCTGTTCCTAATTTCTATTTCTTGTTCCGAGATTTTCACCGCTCCGTGCAGCCTCTAGCCTGATCTGGAGAATCCCAGAACAATGTCATCTCTCAAATTCTCTCCCCTCTTTATTTTCGTCTCTTTGTCATTTCGGACTTACCTACCGCTTGTCGGCCGTAGACGCCTCATTGTGATAGGTATGAAATAGGCTTAGAATGCCTTAAGAATGCATCTCATTTTCTCCGAAGTCGATAGGTAAAGATCTCAAATTCCTAAGTGTGAATTGTGTGATTATCGCCATATCACTTCCTCAACACTTCGACACAATTAGCGCGCTTACCCAGGACGGATTCAAGGTCTCTGGACTACGAAAATACGATATCTAGGCGTCCCGAGTCGACGCCACTCTGCGGCAATTCCATCTGTCGCCCGGTCGAGCATTCCCACGCGCCTGAATCCGACATTCCTCTTGCGAATCAAGTACTATTGGGTTACAGGCTTAGATAAATTGATTTTACTATCCAAGGTCCTCACTCAGTTCACCCGGTCACTACCTGACCCAACGTTTGGCCCGGAAAATCGGGGGTATTTATTATCTACATTACACGACACGCGTACGTCGCCGAGAATATAGCTAAAGGTTCTTCGCGCATTCCAAGGCTCCGAAAGGCAAAGAAAGAGATACCCGATAGGCTTCCTTGAAATTATGGCGTTTTGACATCCTGAAGATGACGCATCAATAGGTGCTACACAATACTCAGAGTGTGGAACAATAAATATCCCTCACCTGCTCTCGTCGGTATAGACGTCTGGACAATGCAATACTTGCTCGTGCCACTGGCTAACAAATAAAACAGATGTGTGGCAAAATATTACGCCGCCTATATAAGTGAAGATAGCCCTCACGTATGTCAATCATCAAGAAACTCGTTTCCTTACTCCTTCCAGCCTTCGTGCACGCTGCCCTCCCAGACTACTGTGCGTTATCGGTGATTGTGGAGTCTCCGCGACCCGATCTCTTCTTTCAGAATATAGAAGAATCTTCTTCCGTCTCTTGTCAAAGATGGTGAGCTTATATATATGTCTGTCTAACTGGGAAGAACTGACACTACCGAACATTAGGACACCAAGGCCATCGAACTCGACTTCAAGGCTTTGGACCTTGCTGAAGCTCGTACTATCTTGAACACATCTTCGCCGAGCAATCTATCTGTCGACGTCCCAGAACTGAAGGATAGTCAGGACATCAATACGCGGTTGGGGATTATCAAGATTCTTCACCCGTACGCCAGCAGCATCACTTCGTTGAAGTGGGCGTACTCGAGCCCTCGAGACTGTGATGCCCTGCGCATCTTTCTACGCCGGCCCTTTCCGCTTTTACAGTCGCTGATCATACAAGATTGCCGGCCAAGCACACTTAACGGAAACCCATTGGTCCCAGAACTGCCTGTTGACGACGGTTCTCCTCAGGTCGACATTCCGAAGCATCATCTCGGTCTCGAGGGGATCCCTATAGATATCACCCAGCTGCGTGTTGACGACATCGGCAGCTGCTCTTTACAGGGACTGTTCCCTTCGTTGGACCAACAATCGATGCCTCGCCTACGATATCTGTGTCTATTCGCGCATTCTCGTTCCCCGTACCGCGATACAGAGCCACATCCTATACCGGAACGCGAAATCGTGGTCGGATCACTTTGTCAACTGAAGATACACGGGCTCCACTGGTCACGGCCCGCAGGAATCTTGGCACGCCTGGCACTTCCGGAATCTTGCAAGCTCGATATAGTCACGCATACCACCGTGGACACGAGCAATTCGTTGCATGTGGCCCTCGAAGCGCTGCTAAGCCAGATCCAGCCTCGGCACATATCGTCGTTGTGGCGCACTAGTACTGGCCCGGAGCTTTCGATCGCCATGGACGCCTGGTACATAACGATCAGTGACAGTGCTGATGTCGAGACCGAAGCTTCGAGTCCGCCGTGGACGTGGCGAGTGCATATCAGCACGACTCGGTCGGATAGGGCTCGCAACCTGTATCTCGAACGCGCGATCCTTAGAGTTATCGCGGAGTCTGGCCTCATCATTACCCGTGCTAACGATCGTCTCGCGGTGAGAAAACTCGACCTTGCGGTACAGACGAGGGACCTAAGATCATGGAGAAATGCCTTGCGAACCTATTTTCCGTGCCTCACAGAATTGAAGACGACCGGGACGCCTCGGCTATCCAGCGACGACGGCTCTGAAGGGCGGCTTCTTCCGCTGTACGCAGCCCTCATCTACCTACCTACCAAGGACGGCGGCGGCATCGTTTGTCCTCAGCTACACCATCTTACCGTGAACAGCTGCACGACTCAAGATATAGGCCGGGTGACGACGATAGTGCTCTCGAGAGGTCGAGCCGGGTTCAAATTGACGCTGGTAGGACATCCCGATTTGGACGTCGCCGGAGAAGGTATCGGTCCGTTGAAGGATCTCGTAGGGAACGGGATCTGCGTTAAAATAGAAAATAAGCATTCGTAGCAACCCTACAGCTGTGGCTTAGCGTTATGCAGTGATAGGACAAGTTCCTGATTGTGGATCTATACAAGGCGGGCGAGGGGGAAAATCTTGTGCGCATCTTGCGAAAAGGCTTCTTACAACGTGGGTGACTACAGGATATTCCTCGTAGCGATCAATTGGCCAATCGATCCGCCGTATGCACGGCTATGAAGAATCGGCATTGGCGAGGATATTTCTTTCGTCACAATGGCATAGTCCATTGCTAGGTGGTAATCGTGAATACGTAACGATAGCTGGTGTGGAATTGAATGCTGGCCCTACGGCCAATATCAAAGGACCGAGCTGGAGTGTCCGACCTTGCTCGCTGCGGCCGCCCCAACCTCCCCGCAAACGTCTTACCCCTCGCCCAAAACATCCGAACCGCCGTCTCAAGCCCGTACCAAGAGGATCGCAACATCCAATAAGCCGAACAAGTCGCACCTCTAAACCCGCTCCCATCGTGGCTCGAACGCGCACGTTCCGTGCTTTGCCTCCGCTTTGAGCCAGTGAGCTCGCCATCGCGATCAGATTGGATGGCCGAGTGTGGTCGCCAAGAGCGCGCGAGCCAACCACAGGCCGGAGTTAGACCGGGCGTTCCCATCTCCCGTCCCCCGTCCCCCGCCCGAATCTTTTATATATGTACCCAACGCCGCCGCAGCGATGTTTCCTCTCCCGCTTCACCCGCTTTCTGCTCGCCACCGCCGTCCGTCGCGTCTCGACGGAGCGTCCACGACCGAACCCGACGACGACAAAGACGTAGAGGATAGTTCCTGGGACTCACCGGCGGCTCTCATCGGGCCTCCGCTTTATCCTATCTCTCAAGAGAACGGAGAAGTTTTTCGGAGCTCCATACGAGACCAACACGGACGGAGCGTGACGTCGAGCCCGATCGCCCCTCTCTCGCACCTTTCTCTATCCCGCCCGCCCTTTGCCACCGCCCGCGATGAGCACCGCGCTCCCCGCGCCCGCGTCGTCCAAGACGTCCAGCACATCCTACGAACAACGACATGGCCGCTTCACCGTCGCCGGCGCCAAAGCCTACCTCTCGGAGAACGTCAACCCCGATCTATCGACGTACCCGCTCGCCGCGTACTGCTTCATGACCGGCTACATGTGCGTTTTTTTCCCCCAATGTTTCTTCTTCTTCTTTTTTTTCGTAAACTGACGACGGATTTCGTTGGTTGTCCCTTCCTCGTTAGCGACATCCTCTCCTTCTCCGCCATCTTCCTCTGGTGCGGGTTCCAAACCGGCAACTCGGCCCAGCTCGCCATCGCCCTCGCCCGGCTCTTCCAAACCCAGCCCGACGGGTCGCACGACACCTCCTTCCGCCTGCCCGACCGCTTCGCGCTCTGCTCGCTGCTCTCCTTCGTCGCCGGCGCCTTCGTCGGGCGCGTCGGCGACAAGATGGGCGCGAAGACGCGCGGGTGGCTCGCGCTCGGCACGGCGCTGCAGGCGCTCATGACGATGGCGGCCAGCGTCGCGATCTGGAAGAGCGGGCAGCTGAGCATCAGCAACGAGCGCGATCTGCCGGCGTGGAGCGACGTGGACGCGTTCGTGTGCGTCGCGTTCATGAGCGCCAGCCTCGGCTTGCAGGGCATCATGGGCAAGCGCGTCAACACCCAGTTCGCCACCACCAGTTGCGTTTTGCTCGGTTCTCCTCTCTCCTCCTCCTCCTCCTACCTCCTTCCTCTCTCCTCTCCTTCCATTCCTCCCCTCCTCTCCCTTCGCACTTTTGAAACCTCCGACGCTGAACGCTGAACGCTGACCCCGATCACGCAGTCGTGCTGACCACCGTCTGGTGCGAGCTCATGGCCGACCCGAAGCTGTTCCAGTTCCGGTGCATGGTCATCACCCGCGACCACAAGCTCTTCGCCGTCTTCGCCCTCTTCCTCGGCGCCTTCGTCGGCCGCGCCATCCTCCAGTCCACCTCCGCCGCCGTCACCCTCGGCATCGGCACCGGCATCCGGTTCGTTATCGCCTACCCCCTCCCTTTCTCCCCTTTCTTTCATCCTTCATCCTTCATCCTTCATCCTTCATCCTTCATCCTTCTTCTTCTTCTTCTTCTTCTTCTTCTTCTTCTCGTGGAAGCGTTCGGCTGCTCACGATTTAGAATTGTTAGGTTGCTCATCGCGCTCAGCTGGCTCTTCGTCCCCGCCAAAACGGCCCCGACCAAGACCGACGGCGCCAAACCCGGCAGCAAAGCCGGCGCATAAAACAGGAAGGCCGATCTACACACATACGTTACATACTATACTTTACGACTCGGGAACAAAAGAACGTCGCTACACGGTTGGACCGAAGATTTTGGCGCGGGCCGGGGTTAGAGGGGCGGCGCTGGTGCGGGTCGGTCGGGGTTCCGCTTGACGATCGGGTCCGATATGGATACGGGTGCGATGCGGACGCAGGAAGGGAAGGGAGGTTATAGACATTCGATAGACCGGCTTCCGCGGTGTGGGCGGAGAAGCTGCCTCTTCGAGCATCTTGGCTAACGGTTTGTTTTTTCATCGGGGGTCATGACATGTATAGAAAGCATACGATCAGTGGGATAGTGACGCATCAATAGACTCTGGAGCCGGTATGTACTTTCCGGTAGCCCGCAAGGTGGTCAGGTTCGGGGAAGCATCGCTTTAGATACGAGAGCCACTCTGCCGAGTTCGAGACCCCCCATGCTAACGCGTGAGCACCTCGGTCGCATCGGCATCCGGAAGACATCCAGATTTTTCGAGGGCGTCCAGGACAGATTGCATATATCGACATGCACACAGTACGTCCATCTGCGGTCTTCTGCCATATCATCGACGGTAACGCAATCCATCACATCGACATCAAATTCGCTCATAGAGATGGAGAACTCCCGATGAGGACACCGGAATGTTCTGTACCACGGCCTGTCCGGCGACCGCAGTTCGGAAAGGACCTGGGCCAACGGGGGTGCCATACGAAGAGGCATGTATCGCGAGCTTGCAGGACTGTGGGATGATCAGATGCTCCAGAACATAGAAGCGGTGTTCGCTGATGCTCATATCCATCAGTGAAGCGAGCGAGACCCGTCGCGCCGGCCTGGGGATAAACTGAGTGTTGCTGAATGAAACCTCCCGACCGCAAAGTTGGCCGCACAAATGGAGGCGCTGCAAACGAGCCGCGGGTGCTTGAGCCCTTCGTTGCATTGCAGCCTGTCCTAGTACGGCACCTCGGAAAGTCTGTGATGATCTCACAACTTTGGCTGGTGCTCACTTCGTCTCGCCGGCATCTCGCTGGCAGAGTGTAGGCTTGACCAAAACATTTGAGACGCCGGTAGACGTATATGTAGCATTCTGGCTATCTACTAGGAAAATTTTGGACAATTTCAAGGTGATTTGAGAGAGATATAACCCTAATGCAACCCGCATTGCATTTGCACAGTATACTCGGATGCACTGTGTGTGCCAAGCCGCACGTATTGGCATGCGGTGCGGCAACCGGTTGTTCCATTATCGGGACCGCGCCGGAAATATACCTCCTCGGAGTGGGATAGCAACAGAAGTAATTCACACGTGTCCGCGCTTCGCCAACCTCTGACCGAGTACCTACCTCGTAACGAACTTGGGGTAAATACACCGCACCAAGGTGCGCGCCGAATCCGACTCCTAATTTCTTGTTGTATTGAATGTGACATAAAAATACTAGCAGCTCCTGCCAGGCGTGGAATAAGTAGCTCAAGGTGGCCGGTGTGAGTACCAAGATCCAGTGGAAATGCCATTATAGCCTACTGACATGGATTTTCCAAGCTTGCAGGCGGCCAGCAGGGGCAAGGCGCTCGACTCCATCACCATCATTGCTGGTCTATCTCTGATGAGGCGGTCCAACAAAAGAGCTCCATCAATTATTTTTACCTGCCGTAAGTATGGCTCCCATATTGGTCCGAGGAACTCGCTCAGGTCGTCCGTACATCTGTATACAGACATCCGTCATACTTTTTTGAGCCAAAAAAGGCTGTTTCATGCTGCGCTGCATTGGCCGCGGAAGATTCCCTCAGGGGACAGACACACTGAGGTGACTGCGTATCCTTTTCCGGCCTGCTATCTTAGTCTGGGTCTTCCTGTGCACTATATGCACTCTTTGATCCTGTCTTTCTTGGTTGATTCTCTATGGAGCGTACCACGCGTGTTTGCGGCTGTTGAGATTCGTTTCAACGATCATTCTGCTCATGCAGCTCTCTCTTCCGTCTGGAGGCGGTCCATACACATCTGGTTCCATTGTGGGCAGTGCGAATCTACCCTCTTGCGGTATGCGGATTGCTGAGAATATTCCCCTCTGCAACAAAGCGGACGCTACCATAGCATTTATAGAACCTGTTATTGAATTTAAGAATTGATTTATTGATCTTGTGTGATGAGGTTGTATTGTCATGAAATAGGTCATCTCGGTTCCCAATTTTGTCGTGCACCACCGCTCATTCTCACGAAAGGCCTTTCCATAGATTATGTATAAAGGCTGCTTCATCACGCAATTTCTCTGTCCCTTCCCTGGTGAGATGTCACCGGATCCCCTCTCAAACACGCTACTGGCTGACGGTGAGCTCGTCTCCTTCCGTACGGACTGATTTTGCTCACCAACAGTGGCGAAGAATCTGGCGGCGACACGTCTGGTGTAGACTTCGTTGATGTGGTGGCCGCATTGTCTCTTCCCACCCCAAAGCACATCTGTGAATGCGCGTCCGGTGGGAGTTCTTTGTACGTTACTCCATTGAAGAGCTGGAATCGACCCATTCTTTGACAGTTCCCCTTACTCCGCTTGCTACGCTGTATGCAGAGGGTCAACGGCTCCTCAACCAGTTTCTCGAATATAGTGATCTCGAAGCGGCGGAGAAGTGCATTGGGATATACAAGAACCTTCTCGCTGAAGAGACTGCCAAACAATCATCGCGCAATCCAAAATATCAGGACCATCGCGAACCAGGGAGCTTGTCGGGTCACAGGCATCACATACTTGTTATGCTTGCCCAAATCCTTCAGGAACGGTATCTTTACCTCTTCAATCAGGGTGATAGTAAGGGAGATCTGGAATCCGCCGTGATGCACGGTCAAGAGGCTTATTCACTCTGTCAGTCAGAGGACACAGCATGTCCGACCGTGCTAGTGTTTTATGGCAATATCCTCGACATCAGCGCCGACGCAGATAGCAATTCTTTGAATCGGGAGTTAGCACGATCACTATGCCGAAGAGCCATCCCGTTGCTTTCTCTCGGACACCCACTCCTCGCAGATGCTGTCCATATCATGGCGTGGACTGCTCTCCGGAAACACGAATCAGCCGGCTCTACTGAGGATATTCACGAGGCAGTGAAGCTACAGCGGCAAGCAATCGTAACGCTGGATCCCCAAAGCAACCATAGGCACCGGCATTTACGCTGGATGAACTCCTGTTTGTATATTCGGTTCTTGGCCTTGGGAGATCGTCACGATCATCTGAGAAAAATCCCATGACTATACAGCACTACATAGTCCAATATAGCATCCATAGTTCCATAGCAATGTCAATTTGTATGGTTGCTATGGATCTGCCTGCAGTTGCTATAGAGGTACCTGCCAGTGCTATAAAGTGCTATGGGTGCTATAGATCACACTGCCATGACTATATAGCACAGAGCCAATGCTATGGGCACTACAGACACTATGGCAATTTGGTAGTCATCATATGCTCAGTAAATGCCATGATTAATCAGACAAAAAACTAAAATGTTTGATTTTGAAAGAAAATATTTGGATTGCATAATAATTGTATACAATATTACATGACTAGCGCTACATTACATTACTAGTGCTACTGGCCAGCTTACGTAAGCATATAATACAAACAAATTTCTACATAGGTGGAGGCGGGGGCGGGGCCAGAGGCGGAGGCAACGCCGAGCCTGACCGCGTTGGCGGCTCGGGCTCGGTGCTGTCGAAGGGGGGCGGGAGGCGAGAGGCCGAGCCTGACCGCGTCAGCGGCTGGGGCTCGGGGCTGTCGGAGGCACGCGCGGGGGTGGGAGGCGAGGCCGAGCCCGACCGCGTTGGCGGCTCAGGCTCGGGGCTGGTCGAAAGGCGGCGGGAAGCGGGGAGGTGACGCCGAGCCCGACCGCGTTGGCGGCTCGGGCT